TATGCCCAAAAATTGCATGTAGGTATCTGGACCCAAAGTTTTGTGAGGAGAGACAGGAATGTTAAGAGATTCAAACAGTGCCAATAAGTGATTCAAACTACTAGGTGGAAGAGTGTTATTCTCAATCAAGAGGAAATCGTCCAGATAGTGGATAACCGAAGGGCACTTGCACACATTTAGTAAGAGCCAACATAAAGCCTCTGCAAATGTGTCAAATATACGTGGACTGCTTTTGGAGCCGAAAGTTAGTCGGGTGAAATAATAATACCTCCCTTGCCATTTAATATCGTGTAGATGCCACAGGGAAGGATGTATGGGTAGTAGCATAAAGGCGTTTACCACGTCTGTTTTACTCAGCCATGCTCCAGTACCTGCTTGTATAATGGCCCCTATGGCATGGTCGATAGTGGCATAGTGCAGTGAAAATTCTTCAGAAGGTATTAGAGAGTTTAGGCTGGGGATAGTGGAGGAGTGTGGTGCTGATAAATCAATTATCAGTCTGGGTTTAAGTGAGGTCTTCCCTGTGACCACCCCTATAGGATTGGTTCTCCAGGACATGAAGGGTGGGGAAAAGAATGGTCCCAACAGAAACCCTTGTTCCAACTCAGTTGAGATAAGTGTATTTACCAACTGTGGATCGTCTAATGTGGACTGTAGGTTGTCGCATTCCAGTGTACCGGAGGGTAAATGGACCAACCCGGTGTGAAAACTCTCAGTCATGCTCAAAATAATATATTCAGTGAAATGACGTGAAGGATGTGGCTGTAAAAGTGATGTCAATAAAGTGAAGTTCACACACGTGTGATATGGTTTTGGGAATGCTTTATTTGGGCACATGGTTTTGGCATGGGCTCTAAAACAGTGTGAACATACATGCATCAGTCTACATGAACTGAAACCACAATTGCCCGCATTGAAATTATTGCATATCTGAGATTTACCCAGGAATGTCTCTCCCCAGCTTGTCTTTTAATCCCTTGGTAGCTTTAGGAAAGTTAGGGGTAGATTGTTTTTTTTCGCAGAGATTAGTGTGGTGTGCTGTAGATGCGCATACTGCACATGCTGGAGGCCTGAGGCCTGCAAAATGCCTGCAGAATAACTCAGTGTCCAGTTTGCTCCAATCAATGCTTAAATTGAACTGAGCCAGAGCTGCAGCCACCTTTGCAAAAAAGGAACGGTGGTAATCGTAAAAAGCGGTCCCACCGTATTTGTGCCCCAGGTCCACCATCTTGTGCATGTATGCATCTAGCTCTGCTCTTTTCCCTGGGTATACTGAGCAGTACACATCCCTATAAATCCCAAAACCCAGTACAAATTCAGGGATTGACAGTTTTTTGTTTAGTCTCGGGTCTCTAGACCTTAGTACGACAGATATATCCCCATATGCAAAAGTCCTATTCTCTAGGACATCCTGGGAGGCTTTAAGCAATGATGTTTGTGACTAAGTGGCTACTAAAAAATACTAAACATACCCCACTTTCAATACCTTGGCTTGTCTACTTTTTCAAATAGTATGCCATTATGGGGGTAATTCTCATTCCTGGGCTACCACACCGTCTCAAAGGCAACATTACTAATCTGGCAAAGTTCAATTTGAAAATGGAACATTCTATATTTGACCCTGTAACTTTCCAAAACACCATAAAACCTGTTAATGGGGGGTACTGTTGTACTCGTGAGATATTGCTGATTACAAATATGTGCATTTTTTTTGCAGTAAAACCTAACAGTATTATAACATTCACAGCTAAAATGTGAGGCGGAACTACAAATTTTTAAATTTTATTCATAATAAATTATATTTCATATATAAATATTTGATATGAAATGAAAGCCCTGTTTCTCTTGAACAAAATGATATAAGTGTGGGTGCACTTAATGTGACAGTGGTGAATTACAGTTGAACAAACACATAGCGCAAATTCCAGTTTTTGTTTACGTTTTGTTTTGATCAGAACGTGTACTATTGACTCCGTCTTGAAGGGGTTAAGGGATAACCTAGTACACACACATTAGAAATAAGAAGATGTAAAGGAACTTTTTTAAAAGAATCAAAGGGATTTTATGGATGTGGTTATGTGTGGGGCGTGCAACCTCCAGATGAGGTTGCCCCACAAGAGCCCAACAAAGGATTTGAACCTGGATACTTTGAGATCCTGGAACTGCTGTTTCTCCTGTGAGCCACTATACAACTCAAGGAGCAGCCTGAAGTCTGATCTTGTCTTGTATCCAGCACTGGGGGCTGGACTTAAACTGTGACTGCTCCTGTCAATCATGGTCCACCTGTTTAGTATCTCTGATTAGCCAGGTATAAAACACTGCCTCTCCCTGAGGGCAGTGTCAGTTCATTGACTCTGGTTCCTGTGTTGGTGTTCTCCAGTTGGCTCCTGACCTTGGCTTTCTATTTGTGGATCCTGATTTCTGGCATCCTCTGACTTTGGCTTACCCTCGTTTATTCTGACTTCTGGCACCCTGTGACCTTTGGCTTACCCGCGACGATTCTCCTGCTTGTGTCCGTACCTGTACTGCGACTTGGAGTATTATCCTGCACAGACTCTCAGGCCAGGTGAATTCTTACCTGACCACCTTGGCCTGTGTTTAATTGCAAGGGTGAGCATATATCTCTGCCTACCGGACTCCCACCTCAGGTAAGCGGTTACAGACATATAACAACCTTTTAATAACCCACGGAATGAACAGGAGACATTTCCTATCAAACAATTTATTACTTGCCATTCCAAAAAAGTCATTTATTTGATTATATGCTCCTGTGGCCTAGGGTATGTAGGTAGGACTGGTCAAACCCTGAACATAAGGATACAGGAGCATATAAGAAACATCAAAAATGGCTTTGACAAACCTAGTCTCTCATCCCACTTTAAGTATAAGCATAACAGCGACCCAAAACAACTCCAATTTGTAGGAATACAAAAAGTAGATATTAGCTGGAGAGGGGAAGACATTATTTTAAAAATGGACCAACAGAGATGAAATGGATTTTTAAAGGCCCACTATAGTGCCCCCACCCTCAGGGACCCTCTCTGGATGGAGAGGAAAGGGTTAAATCTTACCTTGTTTCCAGCGCCGGACGGGTAGCTCTCCTCCTCCTCTTCGGCTGAATGCTTTCCTATGGACGCTTGCGTCTTCTCACTGTGATTTTCAATGAGACAGCCACTAAAGGTTTTAGAGGCTAGATTAACCCTATTATAAACATAGCAGTTTCCCTGAAACTGCTATGTTTATAAAAAAAAAAGGGTTAATCTGAAGTAGTCTGGGTGCCTAGAGTAGTCCCTTTAATTTACACATCCTTATTCCCTTTGGTTTGACTTTGAGTTATATATTTTTTTATTTTTTTTTATGATCTCTTTATATTATGCTTAACATTGGATTTCCTTTGGATTTTTAAATAAATATGTATGTTTAAATTGGGTCAACAGATATAAAAAAAAAAAAAAAAGAAACATACTCATTTTCCTGGCACTATAGTGCCCTGAGGGTGCCCCCACCCTCAGGGTCACCCTCCCGCCCGGCTCTGGAAGGGGGAAAATTTACCTTTTTCCAGCGCTGGGCGGGGAGCTTTCCGCCTTCGTTCCTCCCCGTCGGCTGAATGCGCACGCGCGGCAAGAGCTGCGCGCGCATTCAGCCGGTCGCATAGGAAAGCATTATCAATGCTTTCCTATGGACGCTTGCGTGCTCTCACTGAATTTTCAGTGAG